GATATCTCAAAATCAGCAGGATTTGTCAATAATCGCTCAACAGTGTCAAATCTGATATTTATCACTCAATATATCGCAGAGGCGCTAGATGACCATAGTCAAGTAGATGTCATCTATACAGATTTTGCAAAAGCATTCGACAGAGTGGATCACACCATTCTATTAAATAAATTGAGTGCAATTGGCTTTACTGAAAATGCAAGAGATTTTATAGAATCTTATTCATCAAACAGAAAGCAGTATGTTTCATATAACGGATTCAATTCCGACATTTACCTAGCATCATCTGGCGTTCCTCAAGGATCAAATTTGGGACCACTTCTATTTTTAATATTTGTGAATGATCTATGTAACAATTTAATATGTGAAAGGTTGTGCTTTGCTGATGATTTGAAGATTTTTTCTATTGTGAATGATACGAATGCAGAAACAACTGGATTATATTCAAAATTGGTTCAATATTAACAAGAAACGTTAGAAAATGCAAAGTCCTGAGTTATACTAGAAAAATTACATCAATACACTATTCTTACAAGGTTGAGAACACTCAACTGGAACGATGTAACAAAATCAAGGATTTAGGTGTTATTTTTGACAAAGAGTTGAATTTCATAGAAAACACAACCTTAAAAGTTTCTCAAGCACTGAAGACATACGGTTTCATAATGAGAAATTGTAGAAATTTCACCAACATCAAAGCATTGAAACTACTGTATTTTTCTAATGTACGATCAAAACTTGAATATGCTAGTATTGTCTGGTCCCCTTTTTACGAGTGTCATGAAGCAGCCATTGAGGGCGTTCAAAAAAGATTTTTGAAATTTCTCATCTTCAAAAAGGAAGCTACAATATAAGCGAAACACGTCTAGAAATAACAAATATTTGTGAAAATTATTGATGGTTTTCTGAATTTTGGATGCTAATTCCACCTGATGTGTGGGGTTCGGAAATTATTATGATTAATATCACGACTGGAATTAATATTAACATCATTCAAATAAATCACAAGGTAAATGGAAGATTTGTTGTTGATTTGTAAATGAGAAATGAATGATATCCATCTTAAAGAAACAATACTGCTAGTTCTCATTCACATTTTGAACACCAAGGTTGCCATGCGTGGTCCACAATCATTCCATTTTTCATAATCAGGATCAGGTTTATTTATTTTTTTTTATCGGGGGAATCAAGTTTCTACTGTTTAACAGAAAAACGGATTTCAAACAGATATAATTTTTTTCACCTTATTGTGTAAAACAATCACACATTTTATGTCAGTTCGATCCTCAACTTTTCCCCAAGCCTTAACCTTGATCTTTCACGAAAGATTCTAAAATTTATATTGATATTTCACGAGTTTTCTCTGACCCATTCAATTTTATTACTTATGATAACTCCACATGTCGTAACATGGTTTGAATTCTACACTTGTTGAAAAGTATTGGCCAACAGCTGATCGAAATGTCTGAATGTGAAACATAGGTTAAGTTCATTTTGTTGGAGTTTGCTGTAATTTGAGTTGAGTTGTTTTCAGTGTAATACTTATCGACATAAAAAAATATTGAATAAGGAAAAACCTACTTCCGCTAACGGGAAGCACTAAATATCGAATCAATATGTGACAGCTGACAGGACTTTGTCCGATAGAAGTCATATCTGGAGAATGGACTTCTGTATACTGGAGTATTGAAAACGATGATTTGGTGAATTAACCACATCTTTCGGTGATTACCCGAACCATTGGAACTTATCTGAATTCAAATTCCAATCTTTTGGAAGAATATTTTGGTCTACCCCTACCAACACGTGAAAATTGTATGTTTGTGAACTGATAATAAGGAAGAGAAATTTTATTGATTTTCATTAATGTATCCTTTCGTCATAATTGTTTTGTTCTTTCGCAGTACTCAACAGTATGTCAAAATTTTTCCATTTTTTATACATTCAAGCTGCATAATGATTATTTGATACTTGATTTACGTGATTTTTGTAAAACTTCCGCAACCGATTGAATTATGGCCCTATCTGTGAAGGTTTGAATTCTTTACCAGAGAGACTCGAATTATATTACAGAACTGAAATCTAGAGTTCAGTACCATGAAGTATAGATTGAATTCATATATTAAATTCATTATTATATTATAACTATCAGTAACACTTGATCAACAATATGATTTCATAGACAATAGTTTGATTATTATATTCATGATTTAAGTCAAATGTGAACGAAATCAAAAATATCACAAAACCAGACGTCAAGTGACCACAGAATATATTTGTGTACTGTACGGCACATTCACGAATTGTGTCAAATGGCAAACCGTTCTGAATGTTTTCAAGCACGTAAGATCTTGCGTTACCTAATTTCTACCGAAATAAGTACTAAATTACCTGCTAATCGGGTAATTTCCCATACATAGGCAAGGCTGCTATACGATTTCTATAAAGGTTGTTCTACAGTTTGAATAGAAAACACAAGTTTTCAACAAACCAACGTCGCAACGATTATTCGTAGGTCGTGTCTAACCTAACCGATACGACTTCTTGTGAAGTAAGAATCATAGTACTTTACACAAAAATTTAATGCAGGCTTACTCCACTAGCAGGTGAAGTACACCGAAGCAGGGTAGGCATGTCGATGTACATTAGAGAGTTTCATTTGAGGTGTTTGCTATGAAACTGTCAACCACCAAGGTTTTGCTCTTGAGTCACATAGATCCTCCGACATGTCCAAAGGGATAACCTGGATTCATGTGGAACCTTCTCCAAGTGAACTTTCCAGGTGTGCTTTCCATCAAGAATAATACCGGTGACTTATTTCCATTGTGAATGGAATAACCTCACCTTGGAAAAGAAAAATCACAGTTTCGTTGTAGTTCACAAACATCCTCTTCCTTTGGTACTAACTGTAAAGATTGTCCAACGTGCATTAGATGTTATTACAGTTTACCTTCTTCAATGCGAGGTCGTCTGAATAAGCTTGTATATCTACCCTTGTTATGTCAAGGATATCAAGGACCAAGGTTTTGGTCTGTGAGTGATCATTGGTCTGACAACGAATTGGTTTTGTTCTTGAGTCACATAGATCCTCCGAAATATCCAGAGAAATAACCTGGATTCATGTGGAACCTTCTCCAAGTGAACTTTTCAGGTGTGCTTTCCATCAAGGATAATACGGGTGACTTATTTCCATTGTAAATGGAATAACTTCACCTTGGAAAAATAAAATCACAGTTTTGGTGTAGTTTACAAACATCCTCTTCCTTTGGTACTAACTGTAAAGATTGTCCAACGTGCATTAGATGTTATTACAGGTTACCTTCTTCAATGCGAGGTCGTCTGAATAATTTTATATCTACCCTTGTTATGTCAAGGATATCAAGGACCAAGGTTTTAGTCTGTGAATGATCATTGGTCTGACAACGAATTGGTTTTGTTCTTGAGTCACATAGATCCTCCGAGATATCCAGAGAAATAACCTGGATTCATGTAGAACCTTTTTCAAGTGAACTTTTCAGGTGAGCTTTTCATCCAGTATAATACCTAATGGAAAAACGTCAGCTTGAAAAAATGCATCCAGCTTTCTCTTCCTGGCGAAGGAAACAATCACATTTCTGCTGGGGTTCACATATATCCACTCCATTTGTCACCAAATGGACATTCTCCAACGTTCATTAGATGTTATTACAGGTTACTTTTTTCGATATAGGGTCGTTTGCATTAGCTTGTAGATCTACCTCTGTTTTGTCAAGGATATCAAGCAAACTGTCTATCAGGATTGAATACAGAAAGGGAGATATTACCCCGTCCTGGGGCATCTCTTGGTGACCCTGAACGTAATCCCCATCGTGAAGAAACCTAATAGCTGTCTGTTTTGTGAGCCTGACGTATATCCAGCGGACTTTTCAAAACTTATCCTGTAAATCCTGGTAGTGTATTGTCACATGCCCTTCGCTATCGAGATATGGTTCCCATAATCTCTTCATCGTTGAAAGCCGGTAGCCTGATGGGTTGGCACGGGTGGTTGGTCCACTCACTCTGTAGACCGATGGCTATCGTCCAACCCGTGCTAGGAATCGCATGTTGAAAGGTTATATCTCGTTGATCCTCACCTTGCACAAGTTTCGGAGAGTTATTGACGTCTGGTTAACGGAAAATAAGATTTTACCAGATTTGAGCAGGTCGGGTGATATTCTCTAGGAGGTAATAAATATAGTGCTGAACCTATCGATTTCCCAGTTTGGTAACACAATAGTGGTTGATCAGAGGGGTTGGATACAACGCAGTCCGCCTGATATGCTCTATAATTTTTGTCTGGCTTTTTCGTGCGTTTGTTCGTGCTAATCTTAAAAATGACCCCCGATTTGGGTGCCGTTTTCACTAAAGTTTTCAGATGAGCTGCACTTATACCTTCTATGAAAAGCAGTTTTTAATGTATTACAAACCTGCCCAGCTTATCTGATTGAATCAGGCATGTCTGAGATATTTTCAATTTTTGCTGGAAAACAGGATGACGATCCAATTGAATTGGGTTTATTACCTCGAGAATATGAATTGATTATAAAGCCCTTGCGTCTTCTGGAAAAGAAAGGCGACTGATTATTATACACATTGAAAAAGTTGTTGGTTTTTTTCACGACGGCTTATTGAAGATTTAAACGGCAGAAGAGCAGATATCATTGAGTGGCTTCAACAAAAAAACATATTATATGATGAAAGTACCAGTAAAACAATTATTGTTCATATTATGTTGAAATGAAGCTCGTTTCACGGAATATGTAGTCAAAATATTACTACTCCGCGTCTGTCCCCTCATCATTGCGAACTCAATTTCATTGAACTCATTTGGGCTCAAGTAACGTGCTTCGTTGCAATAAAGACATTCCAAATGAGAGATGTCAAAATATGAGTTTGTGCAATACTCCTTGAACTCGGTGTTTTCGTTCTGCTTTGAAACAATAGAGAACGTTGATTTCTTTCTAATTTCTTTTTCTTTGTAGATGCTGTATTGTACCACCACAAGAATAAGACTAATTGCGCTGTTGATATTCAACGAGATTGCGTCTTTGACCTGTGCCCTACCGCGAACAAAAGAAGTAACGACTAAAAATGGCGTTGCTGCAGAGCCGACTTGCGAGGAACTCAAGGCCATGTGGAGGTTTTCCAAACGGCAATCGAGGGCAGCGGAAATCACCAACGAGATTCCGATGTACAGAGATCCTTTCATGGATAATGTTTGGGAACCGTATTATGCAACTTCCAGGAGCATTGGCGGGTAAGTTGATGACAGTTAATCAGTTTGAACAAAGATGCATAGAAAACTCTGGTGCGTTCAGTTGAATTCCTCCTCTATGTACGGCAATTTTGACCCATTGAATTTTCGCATTCCATTCACAGAGACGCTCAGCGCAGCCCAAGTGAAACTGCTAATAGTTATAATAATAATCTTCATTGAATCCTTCCAGATTTTATTTCGTAGCATTGTCAGGTTTGCGGAAAAATGTTTGAAAAACTTCATAACTCTTTATGAGGAGCTTTTTTCATAAAATGATGAACTGTGGTGAGAAATTCTGATGAGGTGTCCATTTCAGTTGGTAATCATGGCGCTGAGAAACTGTGTGATACATCTCAACATGTTGCATTAATAACATTATACATTTGAAAACATAAATACATAGAACTGGTTTAAGGCGAAAAATGAGTGGAATAATATCTTATTTTGGAAACAAATATTCTGCATGGGTTACTGGAGCATATATGATATGTGGGAGTAGATTAGAACATAATATGCATTATTGCAAACTAGCATAATAACTTTTGTAAACTGTTTTCCTAACTCATTTCACGTTGCAAGGAACTTCGTATTTTCAAAAAGACGTGTGCTAAAAAAACATTTTTCTTGATGATATCCTACCACGTGGTATTGGCTACATCCATTGATTCACTTCATTACTCCTTTTTTCTGGAGAATAATACATACAATACAATGTGAAATGTATAGATGGGTCGCTATAACGAAGTCATTGACATAAATTAGGAATAATATTGGGTCCACTACTGACCTTTGAGGAACACCTACCCTGATGTCGAAATAATCCAAATTACAGGTGGTCACTGTTTTCTCAGTTACCCCTGGAAAACTGATGTACTGAAGACGTGCGTGTAGACAAGATTTTATCCATTCCAGAACAAGTCCTTCAACACTAATTTCAATTGATTCAGTCATTAGGGTGGTATGGTTGACGTAGTGGAAAGCTCGGCTGATATCACAGAAGATCCCAACAGGACGAGAAACGTTCCCAGGAAGTTTATTCCACATAAACGCAGTTCTCCAGATGAAAAAGTTCTCAAACAGTGAAGTTCGAACTGTACTGAGTTGAACCTGATATGTACCGCTCTTGGAGACACTTGAAGACTCCGTGAAAGTTTCTATAGAAGACAGACAAATCTCCAACCTTCCTTCGATGTTCCATACTATCGAAGTTGCACGTGATGTTATCGTCTCTAATCAGGCGGATGGCTCTTTTCTGGATGGAATCTAGCAACTTTAGGGTATGTTTTGGGGCAGAGCTCCATACATGAGAACAATACTCCAAAGAAGGTCTGATCTGAGCTTTATAAAACATCGAAAGTTGCTGAGGTGTGTACAGTTTTCTGGTTCTGAACAGTGTTCCAAGCTTTTGAGAAGCAGTCTTTGCAATTCCAGCGACATGATTGTGTCAAGAAATATTGGTGTCCATTTTGAACCCCAACAAACTTATCGAAGCAGAAAGCTGAGTCTGTTCTGACATTATTATATACAATTCGAAGTCATTTATCTTTTTGCAGAAAACCGATACCTGGGTTTTTGTGGCATTGAATTGAACCTGGTTACTTCCACCACAATTCGGAATCACTTCTAGATCCTCATTAAGAATATAACCTTTTGCTACCGAATCGAAATGAAATAAAAAGACGAATGTGCTGAATTCAGCAAATTAATATATTGGATTCGTGTTCTTTTCCAATAAGTGGTTGATATAAAATAAAAAGAGGGCTGGAGACAATATGGAACCCTGAGAAACACCAGCGTTGATGGTGAGAGTATTCGATAGATATCCATCGACTGCCACTTGCAGGAAACGTTTTTTCCGGAAGCTGGAGAGCCATATACAAAAATGTTTCGACAAGTCATAAGCATCGAAGTTTGATCAGCAAACCCCAATGCCACACACGGTCGAATGCTTCAAAAATATCAAGCGCAATCTCGATCCTCCATATTCTTCGATTGTGTCATTTCAAATAAGGATCTTTGTTTCCGGAAGTCATATTGATAATCGCTGAAGATGTTAAAAGCCTTCCAAATATTCAAGAATATGGTGGTTTATGACTTTCTCCGACCGAATGGTCTGACACAAAACCAATCAAAAACACAGAAATTGATTTTTTCTTCCAATTTTTCATCTAACAGTAATCAGTCTGTGAAGCTATTATGTATTACTTTAGACCAGTCACTTAAATGGTCCCATCATATTGATATTCTTTCGAAGAAGCTGGCTTGTCAACTCTTTCTCATGAGAAGACTGAAAAGATCTGTCAGCACAGATATACTCATGATTTCCTACTTTTCTCTTGTCCATAGCCACCTGTCTTATGGAATTTTACTTTGGCGTAACTCTATCCATACTTCCAGGATTTTTGTGATGCAGAAACTTGCGGTCAGAATCATTGTAGGATTGGGTCCTAGAGATTCATGCAAATCTCATTTTATAAGATTAGGAATTATGACAGTTCCCTNTGAAGTGGAAAATGGAAAGCGGGGATAAGTGAAAGTACTCGAACGACCTATAAATAGTCATCTCTCGGAGGAATCAGTCCAGTCATCACCCGAAGGCGACTGTAGATACTAACAATCGAAAAGTCGTGAACTAACGTGACTTGGAATCTCTCAACTTTTTTTTTCATCTCTTTATTTTTATTTATTTTTGTTCAATTGTTCTATTTTACCCGTATTTAATTTCACTATTATTTCATTTCAGGTTCATTTTGCTTTATAATTGTTATTTTCAGCTATTCATTTTTAATTCTTCTTTTTTAGTAGACAATGGAAGTCCGAACTAGTGAAATTCATCATGAAACATTGTCAATCACCTTCAAACAAATTCATGATTTTTTATATAACTGATAGCAAAGTGATTGGTCTATGGTTATTTGGAAGATTTTTTTGCTCTTTTTGGGAATAGGCTGGACGTGAGCAATCTTTCAACAAGAAGAAAAAACCCCTTCTTTGCAAGACAAGTTCAAAAGTGTGCAAAATTCTGGTGCGAGTTCATTTGCACACTTTTCAAGTACGACGACGGTCATATCATCAGGACCAGGGGCCTTGCTGATATTGAGCTGTTTCGAAATTCGCCTGATTGGACATTGTAGAAAATTAATTTCTGGCATTGTGAATTCTAGATAAGGAATAGTGGTTGTTGACATTCCCAGACGATAGACTGTGGAGTGGGACGCAAACTGTTCAACTAGTAGATTTGCTCTTTTTATGGCTGTTGTTGCAATTGAACCATCCGCTTATGTTAAAGGTGGAATTGTGGATTTTGTAAAGTTATGATTGACAGCTTCAGCTACCGACCAGAAGGATCTACACCCATTGGGATTGGCAAACAGTGTATCCCTAATTCTCTGATTGGAAAGATAGCTTTAGCTATCGACAAAAAGGATCTAGATTCGTTGGGATTGGCAAGTAGTTTTTCATAATTCTCTGATCATAAAGTTGTTGCGAACATTAACAAACCTAATTCGCTTTTCGGCACTGGGATTTTTGCGCTACTGCCGTTATGCAAAATTTCTGGAGCCTTGTGTTTGTTTTCTTAGAATACATGCTGATTGTCGATTATTAAATGATGTAGCTCCAGATGAGAATTCAGCCTCTTTGAATGGGCATATTCAAATATTTTTAAAAATATGAAAGGAATAGCTATGGAGCGATAATAATTAACCTGTTGTTGATCACTACTTATGCCTGGTAGCTTGTCCTTGATGGAACACAAAGGAGGTTATGTTATCCAATTGAGAGAAACCATTAATAATAATATAATACCAGAGTCAAATATCAGCATCGTAGTTATAGCGTTAGTTAAGTAATTTTAAAGTCAAATACCGTTTATGAAAACAATTTTATTTCACTCAAAATTACAATACCAAATTTTCAGAGACTTCTCAGGAGAAAACAATACGGATAAAGGGTTGTTTTCTTTAGGGTTCTTCTGTCGGTTGGTGTTGCGATGGCCATTTTTCTTTTTCATCCAAAACCAAAGTATGGCGAATTCGGTAAGGAGTAGAAGACCTATAGTTGCACTGGGTATATTTCAAATTGCTGGGTGTATGAATTGGTTATGGAGTTTAGAGTAGCTTGGCTTCTGTTTGAAGTTCTCGTATAGATTGCAAATCAGATTCCCTTTGGGAGCGTAGGTTCTTATCCTACCGACTGCGCCAGTTACGTAACTTTGAAGTCGAAAACAGTTTTTGAAAACAATTTTATTTCACTCAACATTTCTAGAGACCCCTCACATCGAGATCTGCATTAGGAATGGATAAAAAGTTATGAAGATAATCGTTTCTGGAACCGGGGTGGGATTCTGCAAGCACTGCATTTTTTTATATAGTCTGCAAAATCTCTTCACATAACTCTTTCGAAACAACGGGAACAACAACTTGGGCATTACGACCCTCACCACATCGCCTTTGATAAAGTCTACCACAGTTGTAGACGAAATGTCAGACATAAAACCTGCAGACTACGGCAAACAACTCGGAAAATAGCTTTAACACAGTCATCTCGGGCCGTGGAAGTTAACATTTTTTGATCATCGTCAAATATCCATGATCTGATTTCATTTGGTTGGGAAATTTTCTGTATAGATGGAAAGCATCGTTTCAAACTTCCAAGTTATATTTTTCTTCAATTCGGTGATAATTTTTTCGAATTACTTTGTCCAAGTAACATCATCAATATTATCATGAAAATTAATATTTGTTGAAGTTAATGTCGCTTCTGAACCCAATTTTGGAGGCAATTACAAATTCGGACAATATTGACTTACTTGAGTTCCATTAATTAACTGAATGAATAATGAAGTAGCTTTCCTTCCCTCACTTCAACTGGCATTTCAATCAAGAAGATCCGAGTTAATTTCGAGCTGGATGCGATGCCATGTTGTTGAACCCGTCGACAAGACTTTAAGATGGACCGGAAAGTGACTGTCTGAGAGTACTTTACTTGCTTGTACGAAA